AATTCAGGCCATCTTTATTTTTCTAGACTTCAACAGCCCAACTATTCTCCCTACTTCTAGTTTCATCCCTTCCCAAATCCAGTCTCCATACTGTGCCCCATTCTATATACCCAAATCTGATTCTTATCATCACCACTAAGTTTCTCAAACTACACAGAAATTGCCACCAAGATAGATGAGCTCTCCACAAAATGTTTTATTATTGTTGAGGATAATTAAAACAAGTACTTTCTAGATCATTTGACTGAAAACCTAGCATACAGCCATATACCTATCCAAGTATGTGTTTATACTCACAATAACATACTACCACCTTAAACCAAGATCATTCATGAGAAATAAATAATGGCAGACTTAACACACAACTGATTCCACTCAAGAGAATATGATGTTCTTTATTTTCAAAAGTATCCAATTTGGGTGAATAGAGAAATGTGATGAAAGAACTGAGCCTTTCCAAGATACCTGTAGTATTGTCAAGCAAAACTAAAAAATAATTTGTTCCATACCATATTCATATTGTAAGCAATTTATAAAATATGTCATATGTCACATTAAATTACTGTTAGGGAACTTGAATTTTATTAGTTTTGTAGATTTAATTTATAAAACATTTGATGTTAAGACCTAGAAACACAAATTCAGTATGTTTATACATCTAAAACACTAAAATAAACTTCTAGTGACAAACCAAGCTACTTGAAGTTCTCTAAACATATCTTGCACTTAGAATCACTGTATTCTTGCACTTAGAATCACTGTATTCTTCTTTATCCTAGAGTGTCTCCAATTAAATTTTAATATCATCTTGCCTCTCCTCCCAGTTCCCTGCTAAAAATGTTGACAGTCACATCTATGAAACCCCGCAACATCTCCTCTTTGAAAAACCAAACATAAATGCCTAAACAATATTTAGCTTTTGAAGCAAAGGTTTGGTTTTTGTTTGCATATTGAGAGGCAAAGCTCTGGAGCCGTGCTGTTTGACACTGACTAGGTACATCTGGCTATTTAATTTTAAAGTAAAACTAAAAATTGAGTTATTCAGTCAGACTAGCCACATGTCAAGCACTCAACAGTCACCTGTGGCTGAAAAGAGTCCCGTCATCACAGAATGTTCCCCTGTATATGCTGCTCTGTAACTTTTCCCTTTAAGGTCTGAGAAACCTGCTCATGACTTCAAATATAAACTGTGCGATGACTTCCAAATCTTTCTCTAGTCTTTTTCCATTAACCTAATGGAATATCTTCAGTAACCTTCTTGATATTTCAACAATGTCAGTTGAAGAGATGGAGGTGGTGGTTGGAAATAATTATGGCAGTCAAGAAAATCAATAAGATATAATGTAATCAAGAATGGAATGGATTTTCAGGGTAAGGTTAAGATTGAGTTTGAGATATCTGAAATAGGTACTGCAAAAATAGTAGTAGAGACTAAAAACAATACCCCCTTCACCCTACTCTCCCATCCTAAAAGAATTTAAAACCACTCTGCAGAGTTCTTAAAAAGATATCTTTCTGGCCGGGTGCGGTGGCTCACACCTGTAATCCCAGCACTTTGGCAGGCCAAGGCAGGCGGATCATGAGGTCAGGAATGGAGACCATCCTGGCTAACACGATGAAACCCTGTCTCTACTAAAAATACAAAAAATTAGCCAGGCGTGGTGGCGGGCACCTGTATTCCCAGCTACTCGGAAGGCTGAGGCAGGAGAATGGGGTGAACCTGGGAGGCAGAGCTTGCAGTGAACGAGAGGGTGCCACTGCACTCCAGCCTGGGCGACAGAGCGAGACTCCGTCTCAAAAAAAAAAAAAAAAAAGACATCTTTCCAATCATACCTAAAGGATATTATTCATCACCAGTAATTCACCTCTGATGTGGAAAATATGTTAAAATCATAGCTTATAATTGCTTAAGTTATAATGTAGCCTGTTTCAAAGTTTATTTTGTCAATTAAAGCTCTAATTCTTTCAAGATAAGAGTTTAAAAAACAGAACATGCTGGGCATGGTGTCTCACACCTGTAATCCCAGCACTTTGGGAGGCCGAGATGGGTAGATCACCTGAGGTCAGGAGTTCGAGACCAGCCTGGCCAACATTACAAAACCCCATCTCTACTAAAAATACAAAAATTAGCCGGGCGTGGTGGTTGGTGCCTGTAATCCCAGCTACTCGGGAGGCTGAGGAAGAGAGAATCGCTTGAACTTGGGAGGCAGAGGTTGCAGTGAGCCAAAATCATCTCATTGCACTCCAGCCTGGGCAACAGAGCGAGACTCTGTCTCAAAACAAAACAAAACAAACACAACAATGTACTGAAGCCAGATTTACAACCACTCTTACCTCAGATTTCTATTAATTACTTTAAAGCTCTTAGCTTTCTTTACACTGTACTATCATAAAAAAGACATAATACAGTTATTACTTAACTAGCCACAAATACATTTTCTGCTTCATAGAGCTACCTAATATGTTGTTGGTGTTACTTTCAAAGAGAACTTATTTTTTAAAATGCAAAGCTCCACTTTCTGACCATCTAAATAAAATCACATGCAAAAAGACCATGCCTCCAAAAATTCATGCAGAAAGCTTCAGAAAACAATGAAAATGAAAGGCATTTCCAAAATAATGTATAGTATATTTATTTATTTAATAAACATTAATTACCACTATACACTTCTGAAATGAGGTGGATGGTAAATCAAATAAACATAAAGCAGTATTTATTAAGTACCTACTGTGTGCTAGGCTTTGGCTACATAGACAAAAACAAAAACAGGCATGGTCCTTGCCCTCATGGAGCTCACAGTCTAGCTAAAGCAGACAAACAAGTCACAAACACAATGGCAAAGCACCAGGGAAGCATTATGGAGGAAAGGATTGGTTCTGCCTGGAGTATGCAGGGAAGGCTTCCCAGAGATGGAGACAACGGAGCTGGGTCTTGGACGAGTAGGAGTTCACCAGATGAAGGGGAAAGGGGTAAGCACATTCCAAGCAGAGCAAACAGCGCATGAGCAAGCAGAGTCTTGAAAGCGCATGCCATGGTGCAGGACGATGAGCGTTCCAGCGCAGCTAGAGCAGAAAGGTGCACACAAACTGAAGAGATGAATTAGTGTTTGGTTTTTGATGAAACGTAAGTGTCAGAAAAATAAATCTGCACATTACACTTAACGTAACTAAACTGTGGTTCTGGTACACAACAGTAATCTGAAAGTACTCTTCATTTCATAAATACTGAAGCCCCTTTTATAAGTACCCAGCACTGTGTTTTAAGATGGCAATTTTAGAAACATAAACCTGAATTTTCCTCTGTACATTTAAGAAGCAAAGTAACCCCAGAATAAAGGTTTCCTGAAGCTGAAATCACAATGATTTATACACACAGAAGATCCTAACTTTTGCTAACTTGGGCTCCCCGTCTACTGCTATTCTTACCTTTCTTAACATCTTCATAATGACCAACTCAAATCCACCCCATAGTTAAGGAATACAGAGGCAATTTAGCCTTCTCTTCCACTCTGCCTCTCTAAACAAAGGACCTGCCAATGTCCCTATGAAAACCAATGCAAGGTATTATGCTATGAAGAAACAATGCATTTTGACCTCCGTATCAATTATTAGAAATTATATTACTGTAAACTGCACAAATTTAAGCTGAATTCCGAATGAAGACAGGTATGAAGCAGAGACCCCATGCCCCTCAGAAAATGTAAAATGACAAGAGGGAAGAGAGCTTGGGTCAGAAAGTTTCCAACGCTGGCCACGAGGCAACACTGTTCACTGAGGTGGCTTGGTGCTCAGGAAAGGGGGTGGCTTACGGAAAGAGCAGTGTGGAAAGCAAAGGAATTAACGTGGGTCAAATTTACTTTGCCAGATGTTCTAAAAAATTCCCATTTACTCCTCACAACAATGCGAAGGGAAAATTTTCTTTCTTTAATTTTACAAATGAGAAACCGAAGGCCCTTGGAGTCTAAGAAAGTTTCTCATGACTGCATCAGCTAGTAAGTAGCAGAGCCAGTTCACCAAGTCATGTCTTCCTGGGTCCAAAGCCCTTCTTACTCCACTACGCTGCCAGTGGGTTCCTAAAATGAGCCCACTGGGACTTACGGGATTACATGAGTCCCATTAGTCCCACACATCAGTCACATCTTAAGAAAGAGAGCCCCTACTTCTCCCTCCACTATTTTCACTGTCACTGTGAAGACAATGGTGGTAGCAATACACATACACACAGATCCCTGAAGTTTAGAGGAAGAAAAACTAAGAAAAAATAGTCACATAGGTTTAGTTGTCCTCAGGGAAAAAGCAGCTTTCTTTGTAAAGATAGTGGATTCTTTAACACAATTAAATTAGTACAGGCTTAAGTATACCTCATCTGAAATGCCTGTGACCAGAAGAGTTTCAGATTTCAGATATTTTCAGATTTGGAATGTTCAAACTGTATCGTAATTCAAATCAGATTTGCTTCAATTGCTATACAATAAACTATCAACCAAACAGCTTGATAAAGCTAAGGGCTAACGGAAAAATATCCAAACATAGTATTAGAATATTATTCCAAAAACTCATTATCTTCAACATCATCAAAGGTCAAAAAAAAACCAAAAACAAAACACTGCCCCTTCTCAAAACCTGAACCTGAAAATCAATACGTAATTATAAACTATGAGATAAAGATACCTGCCACATTAAAATGTTGCCACTTTTTGGACAACAGGAACGATTTTGAGGGAAAAAGAAAAAAAGCAGACAATTAACACTAAAGAAACCTTTTGTAAACAGCCCCAGTGGGTCAGAAAGCGTGACGTTCACTGACCTAGAGAGATACTGAAATGCTATTTTCTACTGTGCACAATTTACTTATGCTCTCTCTTGCTGGGACAGGGTGGGCAGGGTACGGGGACATGCATGGGACATTTGGACAACCAAAATTCCAGTGACTATGATGTGAGATACTTTTTGGACAGCTTTCGATGTAGCATATACATGTGATAAGTAAATTAACCAACCTTATTTTGATTGAGAGGATCGTTTCGCAGTCTCTGTTTGTTCTTCTGTAATTTACTAGGCATCATCTTTCCAGTTCTGAAGTCAAAACTGCTGAGATCAACAGTATTTCCCAGGTACCTTGCCAACTGAGGCTTGCTTCTGAACTTCTTACCACTTGGACTAAAAGAAAGATAAGGTTAATTGAATAAAAGGCAACAATATTTACTCTAGGTCTCTACATAAGCCTTTTCTTCATGTCTTCCTCTACCCTCAATTGATACCCCATTCTATTGTACATATTTTTAAAGAAATGTTAAAGTTCTGCTAGGCATGGTGGTTCATGCCTGTAATCCCAGCACTTTGGGAGGCAGAGGCGGGTGGATCACCTGAGGTCAGGAGTTCAAGACCAGTCTGGCCAACATGGTGAAACCCCGTCTCTGCTAAAAAAAAAAAATACAAAAAATTAGCCGGGCGTGGTGGTGGGCGAATAGCTAAAAAATTAGCTATTCGGGAAGCTGATGCAGGAGAATCGTTTGAACCCAGGAGGCAGAGGTTGCAGTGAGCCAAGATCGCGCCACTGTACTCTAGTCTGGACAACCAGAGCAAAACTCTGTCTCAAAAAAAAAAAAAAAAAAAAGTTAAAGTTTTACAGGGAACTCCGTAACTTCCCTGTAAGAAGAGATCACGTGTCACCTAATATAACGCTCCCCTAGGTAGTCCACTAGAACATATAACATGTTGCCACAGCCTATCCCACAGGTCACTCAGCAACTACTGCGAGAACCTAAATCCAAACTTCATGCACAGCATAACAGGCATACTAAAAATGTCTTCAATCTCACAAACTTCCTTTCCAAATTGATTCTGAAATGCTTTTTTTCCCTGCAAGTATTACATATACAACTATGCCAGCAATAATCAGAAAAAAACTTGATAACAAATTAATCTGAAGTCAGCAACCCTTGTTTAAAACACACACACACACACAGACACACACACACACAAATATGTGGAATCTATATCATATTTGGGCTCATAACACTCACAATAAAAAAATTCTTAAATCTTGACAATATTTAAATGCTAATACTACTGAAATGAGAAAACTAGAGCAAATATTTGTGAATGTGCTTGTACCATGCTGACATGAGTTTTGTTAGCCAAACTCCTCCCTTAGGGAAGCACATGAAGAATAATTTACTTCTGGTAAGTAATACCGCCAAAGCTGGAAAGTTACAAAAATGCCAGAATTATATGGAGGACTAGTCTTTCCCAAAAACATTTTTTCCTGTGTGGCATTAATCTGTAAGAAATTTTTTTATAGGAATAATGCCCCAAAGTCTCACCTAATAAATTTTCTGAACGAAATAAATGTGCTAGAACAAAGTCAGTGTGGTATGTCACAAGAAAATTGTGAGAATTCTAGGATACTTCTCAAAGAAGTCAATGTGTCACATTTAGAACTTAACCTTGCACCAAGTGACCACAATAAAAGAAAAATAACTCATAAGAAGATAAAAGGAAAAAGGCTGAGAGATCAAGCAATAAATATTCTCTTGGAACAAGAAAACTTCTCTCTGGGTCAAATCCACAGCAATACACCCCTAACTTGTCACAAACTCTTTGGTAGTCTGTCCCAACACACTTCAAGACAACTGAAGATCCTATCGACATTCTTTTTCCACAACCACATGACTTAAGTACTCCTGAAACACAATTCAAGGTATAGAGTTCAGCAGGCAGATGAAGATAACAACCAGTAACAACAAGAACAATACAAGAAAGCACCAGAGGAGAGAGTACGGGATCCCACACAAGCAAAGCTCAACTCCAACTCTAACCTGGATTTCCAGAATACTCAGTATCACAAAATAAAACAGCAAGTCACTCGCAATATTGTCCAAAACTTGAATCATCGCTGCCCACCACACAACACAGTTCCACCCCCAAAACCTGATCTTCTATACTCCACACCTGTGTCAGCAGCACTGCTGTCCACTTAGCACTTCATTCTCCAAGCTAGAAGGCCACATTACAATCCTTCAGCACCCCCATGTCTCAGTCACACATCCAGTACCAAGTTCTAAACGTTAAGGTTCCTCAATGTTGACAAAAAAGCTTCACCTCCTTAATAAGCCATCAAAAGCTTTACGTCTGTTATATTTTCTTTCCAGACTCTTTTCCCACCAGCCTTGGTGGCCTACATTCCAAACTCTAAATCACCAAAATATGCCATATACCTTTGAATCTTCCAGTCATGTCTTTGCAGATGGAAGGATGAGCACAGAAACATCCTGCCTATCAAAAGGCTATTAAATCCTCCAAGTCCGGCTAAAATGTGCTCCACTTCCACTAGGAAGTCTTCTGAGATTCTCCAATTCAAGTCAGAAATAATCTACTACCACCCAAAATTCTATTTTCATTACAATAATTCCTATATATTTCCTTGCTGAGTCAAACAACAATGCCACTTTTAAACTTCAAACACCATTAAAGGCTAGCACTGAACAAGGTAACTTTCTGAGAGCAAAAAACCTTATTAGTTCAATACTAAACGATGTGGTTTTTGCAGACACAATGAGATAAATACTATCGCTTATTTAAGTTATATGGCATACAATTTTTAAAACTAAGCTAGAAAACATTTTCATTAATGTGTTTTACCACATAAGAAATAAAGTATTATACTTTGTCATTATACTAATGACCTAAATTAATATGAAAAATTAGTAAAGATTACTCTGCTATTATGTCACTTATAAAAAGCTGCAATAGCCAGGCATGGTGGCTCACGCCTGTAATCCCAGCACTCTGGGAGGCCAAGGCACGCGGATCACGAGGTCAGGAGATCAAGATCATCCTGGCAGTAAAGACACATATTTTCAACAGATCCTTTCCCACAAGATGACATGACAGGCAGTAACTCTTAACCAAAAGATAAGCATCACTGCTCTTAGCATATGTGACGACAAAACAATCTATTTATGAGGGAACAATAACAAACTCCACAAATTCAAAACTTGCAAATAAAGTAGTTTCCTCATTTAACAGTTTCAATGTCAAGCTTTACCACGCAGCTGAAAACATAATAGAGCCCTCAAGTACAGATGTTCC